GCCCCGGAGACACCCCGGGACCTCAGCCCCGGCCCCGGACTCCGCGCCCAGGGTGACCCGTGGGCGTTCTCCCCCTTCTCGCAGAAGTCGCCCGGAAATGGGAGCTTGCGCGAAGCGCTGATGGTCCCGCAGGGGAAGCTCATGGACCCGGGCTCCCTGCCGCCCCCCGACTCCGAAGGTAAAGAGCCGAGGCGCCAGCCGAGACCCCCCCCGCCATACACACCCCGAGGGCGGACCCCGGAACCCTGCCCGTTTCCCAAAAAGGGCTCGCCCTCCAAAGGACTCGGGGTCACTCCTCTCGGCCCCCGCTCCCAAGGGGCTGTCCCCAAGGCTTGCTAGGGGTCCCTCTCTTACTATCCCCTCCGCCTCACCTCCGATTCTATTATTCACTCCTCAGATCTCTTCCAGGATCTAAGTCACTTCCAGGAGACGTGGCTGGCTGAAGGTGAGTGGTCTTGCTACCTTTTCTGTTACTGGGGGCAGGGGAGGACTCCCACTTCCTCTCTCCCCTTCCCCGCCTCAAGGAGTCTTCCAAGGCCCCCTCCCCGCGTCCCTGGCCACTCAGTTCTCCCCAGAGCCCAGCGTGGACACTTACATTGATATTTATTTTCTCTGCCCTGAGCTTGGCTTGTGTAACTAGGCCTGGGGATGAATCAGACCATTGTGTGGGGTATTTGCTTATTTGAATGGAACTTGGCCCCGGGCCCGTTTTCCTGGCTGAAATTTTCATTTGCAAAGTTTGTTTTGCAGGAGCCACCAGACTAAGGTGTGTGTTGGGGTGTTGGGGGGGTGAGGAACCGGTGGATGAAGAGGAGGAGATTAATTTGTTACTGATCCTCAGGACTGGCCAAAACACTGACTTTTATCCCCTAGGTTTCATTCCTTTCCAGCCCCCAGCGCCAAGCAATTTACTGTCCAAGCCGAAAGAACAACAAAAGTTTAAATAATTCTTTTCTGCAGTCCTTGGGCACTGAGGGCTCAGAGCTTCCTCCCAAATAGCCTTGATTGTAATTCTAATGGCAACTGTTCCTCCCTCTCTCGCGCCTGAATACCTCCACCCCCTGGCAGATTCTCCCCTTCCTGTGTGCTGGGGCTTTTCCTACGAGCTGGCTGGGGAGCTGGCTGGGATGCGGCCGGGGCTGGGTTGGGAGGTGTGTTCTGGGGGGTCTCCTGGTTGGATTCGCTGGTGTGTTTGGTGGGGCCTGAGGGTGTCGCTGGCGGGGCTGCAGTGGAAGGCACAATGGGGGCTCAGGCGGCCTCTGAGAGGGAAGGTTTAGCTGTCCCCATCTTAGGGTCCCTTTATTTTAACATTATTGAAAACCAAGAAGCCAAAAACACGAGGAACAACCCCTTTTTGAGATTGGCTCCTTGGGAGCGCCCCATTTCTCCAACCTGGTATCTTTCGTTGGCAGTTTTTTTGTTTTTAAAGCTCAGATCCAACTCCTCTGGAACCCTCTAGAGAAGCCTGGGGTAGACGGAAAGACCCCCAACTAAATCCTTGGAGTGAGACTAGGTCTGTCTTGCCCACTGTGGTCATCTAAAAATACATCTGTTGACAGAATGGCTATTTAGCGTAGAGCAAGCACTCGAGACATGCTGTGGAACTGGAACTGACGGCTGCATGGCTGTGTGGATGCTGGAGGGATCTGGAGGCCCTTGGGGGAAGTGTGGTGTGCATCTTCCCCGGCCCTGCGAGTCCTGTGTGCTCGCGTGCCCAGCGCCGGTTCCCAGGCCGAGCTCTGCCCTGCTGCCCACCCATCTCCTCCCCCCCAAGATTCTGGAGCCGGGCTGGAGAGGCAGGGGTGTCAGTTTGCACGGTCTCTCAAGACTTCCTTTGCAGCGCCTGATTTCTCTGTGGCTCACTAGGCTCTTTTCCCCCTCTGTCAGCCGAGGGTTCCTGCAGTGGCCAGCTCCCGGGGCTGCGAGCTGGGCCGAGAGCTAGGGGCAGGAGAAGGAGTTGGCATTTTCACCACAGCTGGTCTGTTTGTGCCTGGGTTTGAGGTGGGAGGGGAAGGAGGATGTTCTCTTCTCTCAACCTTGGAAGCCCCACCCCTCAGCTGTGGGTCTGGAGATGGTACATGTGTCTGTCTGTGTCAGTGTGACAGTGAGTGTGTGTGCGTGTACGCGCGTGTGTGTGTGTGTGTGTGTGACATGCTGCTGCCTTGGGAGTCCCTGTACATTTAAATCCAGTGGGTGGGGAGGTGGGGGTGGGGATT